CACAGAACGAGAAATGGAGGGGCGTTATTTACTTTAAAGAAAAGACTGTACTTGTACTGACTTCTGGTTGTCAGGGCATTTCCCTGTTTCCCAGGGATCTGAGGCGCAGGGTCGGGGTTGGGGTGGGGATAGGGGGAATGGTTGCTGGTGGTGGGGGAGCTCTCTAGAGACAGCGTTCGCACTGGTTGAAGTTCCCAAAGTTTTGGCAAGCTGGAGCTACAGGACAGAGTTTAACCTATACTGCCCCTGTATGGATACTGGCAAGACGGCCCTGTCGATTCCTTGTCTGCAAGCCAAGTTTTGAGATGTTGGAATGGCTTAGGCCATAAGGGATAGGAGCAGAATGAGGCCTCTCGGCCCGTCGAGTCTGCTTCACCATTCAATCATGGCTGCCGTGTCTCTCAACACCGTTCTCCCCGTAGCCCTGGATCCCCTCACCAATCAAGAACCTACCTATCTCTGTCTTAAATATACTCAGTGTCTTGGCCTCCGCAGCCCTCTGCAGCAATGACGTTCCCCCTACGCCTCGGCTGAAGAAATCCCTCGTCATTTCAATTCTGAGGGGTCAGCCCTGCACCGTGAGGCTATCCTACTTGTCCACTCTATCCAGGTCTTTCAGTGTCCGGTAAGCTACAATGAGACTTATAGCGTTCGACAGTGAGTTTGGTCTCACTGCCGAAGATAAAATTTTCCTGCTTCTGCAGTTGGCCCAATGTGCTGAGTGAAATGGACAAGTCACGGGAGGATTTGCTTGTCTTGGTTTGAGTCTTAAGATCCCAATTGCAAAAAGAACAGTCAGGACAGGCTCCAAATTGTCTCCCCTGCCTCCCTGGACCTCATTAAACTTAATTCTCTTCGATTTGCGACATTTGAAAAGCATCAGGGAGGGATGGGAGCTCAATAGCCGTACAGCCTTCCATCCAGCTCGCTAATTTCCCATTGCAACCTACAGCCCGAGTCCAACACCCATGGAGAAACAAACGTGATACATTATCGATCCCCTGCCTGACCCTTCACAGCTCTTGCAGTTTTCAATAAGATCAAACACACCCCGTCCCAACTCCCCCAACTCAGAGGGTGTTGGGGGACTGAAATGGATAATCAGACACAATCCCGTTGAGCGGTGGACCAAGCTCAAGGGGCCGAATGGCCTACTCTCATCGTCTGTCTTTTCAAACTGTTGAACGGCAAAGAAAATTAGAGTAGGAGAGACAGGAAATGATGACATTTGTTTGGGTATGCAGACAGAAAAGGCCCTTGAAGCCAGCAGCATAGACCAGCTGGACGCTGGAGAATATCTCTTCCCGCTATCACAGTTCCAAACCCAGTGAACCCTCTCTGGGGTACTGATATCATTTCCCAAGGCGAGACGCTACGAGGCTTATTTGGTTCCACTGTGAGTTTGGTCATGTCTCCAAACACCAGCTTCTCAGTGCGGTGCATTCCACCACAGGGCTACCAGCTGTTACAAAAGTAGACCCCGCCACAGTAACAGTGCAGTGAAAGGCTGTTTTAGTCTCCCTCACTGTATCTTCATGTTCCTGGCTTCAAGCGCCTTTTCTGTCTGCATACCCAAACAGATGCCACCATTTCCCCTTTCTCTCCTACACTAATTTTCTTTGCTGTTCAACAGTTTGAAAATACCGACGATGAGAGTAGGCCACTCGGACCCTTGAGTATGCTCGACCACTCAACGGAATTGCGTCTGACCATACATTTCAGGCCCCCAAAGCCCTTTGATCCAACAGAACAATTTCTATCTCTTCCTCGAAAACACTCAATCTTTCGGCCCCGACTGCTTTCTGTGGCGGCAGAGTATCCTACAGGCTCCCCCCACCTCTCCAGTCTCTGGGTGAAGACATTTCTCCTCATCTCAGTCTGAAATGGCCTACCCCTGTATCTTTTGACTGTGACCCCCCTCCTCTCCCTGCTAGACCCAGTGTTCTGGGCATAAAAGCAGGCAAATTGGAAAATAAATTGCTCCATGTTTTTGTTCTCTTGCCTTCCTGATAATTCTGCAGTGACATGTGTGTGTGTGTGTGTGTGTGTGTGTGTGTGTGTTTGTGTGTGTGTAGGAGTCTGCAGGGCTATTCGCTATTGAAGCACAGAGGCTACCTCGAATCTCTCTATGCCAAAGAAGACACACATCAGCCACTTACCCGGCAGAACCTTCAGTTGTGTTCCATTGCCAAATATGAGTTTGTCAGCATTGTTATAATAGCCAGCACAGTGACAATTACTCAGACACAAAACCCTCGATGGGGACCAGGGGGTGGGACTTCTCAGTTTCCCACTTGTTTCCACATCAGCAAAGAATGATATAACTTCGTGAAAATCAGAAGGTATATTTGGTAATCTGGAGGTAAAAATCTGCAATCCTGTCCGTCCCAAAGTATACTGGGGAGGTCGACAGGAACTCCCTTCAGTGAAATTAAACAATATTGTAGAGGAATTACTCCTGTCTTTCATTCATCCCTTGTACCCACGCTCAGAGCAATGAAAAATATTGCAGAGGCCCCAATTCCCTCTCTAATTGCAATGCTGCTTCAGTACAAGCCCCTTTATGCATTAGTGGAGAGATGGTCTATGGTGACTGAGGAGAGATCCCTAGGCAGGACCCTTGGATTCAGGGACTGGGGAGGGAACAACCTTCCCCAGACAGCACAGGTTAGGGCAGAGAGTGAGGGAGGACCTCAGCGGGTTAGCTCAAGCACCAACTTAATTCGGGCCCCACTTGCTTGTCCCTGCTGAGTGCCAGCTCCCACTCAAAGAAAGAACAAAATCAGTCAAAAAAGCAGGACATTTCCCGGACAATATTCAGGTCGAAATTGGCATCAGACTTACTGGGTTCCACGGTGAGTTGGGTCCCACTGCCAAAGATCATCTTTCTAATCCACACAGTGCTAACAGATAGTCCACAAATACGACTCCAACTACATGCACAGTAATGCCTAGGTTTATATTTCACCTTTTCCTTTAGCTACGGGGTACACTTCAGACTCAGTTTGCAAGTCAGAGAACCATACAGCTCGGAAACAGACGCTTCAGTCCAACCAGTTTGTGCTGCCCATGTTCCCAAACTAAACTGGACCCACCTGCCTGCTCCTGGCCCATATCCCTCCAAACTTTTCCTTTTCATGAACTTATCTAAATGTCTTTTAAACATTGTAACTGTAACCACATCCATCAGTTTCTCTGGCATTTCATTTCAACATGAACCACACTTTGTGTAAAAAAAAATCCTCCTTGTCCTTTTAGATCTTTCTCCTCTCACATTAAAAGATGTGCCCCCCAGTTTTGAACTCCCCTTTCCTGGGAAAAATACCCTTGTCTTTCACCTTACCCATGCCTTTCATGATTTTATAAACCTCTACAAGGTCACCCCTCAGCCTCCTACGTTCCAGTGGAAAAGGTCCCAGCCTATCCAGCCTTTCTTGATAACTCAAACCTTCTCTAACCGGCAACATCCTGGTAAATCTTTTCTGAACTGGACACGGTATTCCAGAAGAGGCCTCGCCAACATCTTGAACAACCTCAACATAACGTCCGAACTCCTGTACTCATATGTCTGAATTAGGATATCCCTGGTGATCATTGTTACCATTTCCCACCCCTCGTTAAACCATCCTTTTCCCTCCCCCGCATTAATTTGCAGAGTCCAGAAATTCCCATTAGCATCCAATTTCACGGTGAAATTGCCCTGTAGCCGAGTTTCCTTTGAATCATCTGCCATTGATTTGGGAGAATCAGAGAAGATAGGGGTTTTTGGAAGAGGTCGGGGGCGGGGGTGGAGGCTAGAATAATTAATTATCAAACTCCAAACTTCATTGCAAACCTTCACGTTGTGTCTTGTGTTAGCATTTGAAAGGAACGGGAGAGGTGTCGGTGGGAGAGAAAGGTGAATTTTTGTTCACTCTGGCCCATGTTCTATTTTTTTGGGGAAGGGGCAGACTTGATGGGCCGAAGGGGCTTTTATTCCCTACGACTCTCCCTCCAGTTCGGTCCTGAGGCCTAATTGCAATTAGTGCAGTACAGCTGTTCGTTAGGTCGAGACGGTGGCTTGGTTTCTCTGTCACATACTCTCTTGCACCCCCCGCTCACCCCATCCCTGTATTCCCCAAGGCTCAGAACGGAAAGAAATGACATTCACTCACAAGAAACGTTTGCACTTACTCGGCACGACGTCCACTTTAGTGCCGCTGCCGAAAATCAGCTTGTCATCATAAGCTGCACAGTGACAACCACCCAGACAGGAACCTTGTTACATTGATATGGAAAAAAACACCACCAACCCCCTTCTCCAAGGGAGCTGTCTCACTCAGTGACCTGGAATCCATCTCCATTCCCTGTCTCCATTCGACCAGACCCCGCCATGGCTCAACAATTTACACCAGAGATTTAACACGCCATGTCCTTGCAAAGAATTACTGGGCTCGGAAACACGGATTTTCCCAAGTGCTAAGTATCAACATCTCAACTTACCTGGCTCCACAGTCAGTTGGGTCCCAGCTCCAAAGATCAGTGGATTATACACGATGACAACTGGCCTGACATATACCTGCTGACTTGCCGAGAATTCCAATTCCATTAGGACCAGTGAATGACAGCGTGGGGGAAGGAGTGGTGGATAAGCGACAGGAGGACATATTTTGATGGGATTAGACCGGAAGTAAACCCCTGGCCTGAAACCTTTCTGCTTTAGACTTACCATGCCGCCAGCTTACAATGCCAGGGTCTAGTACTTTGGGGGAGACAGACAAAGAAAATCTTTGAAGATCTGCAAAGGAGTCTCCGAACCGCACCTTGGAATAGAATTGTTGGAAATGCAAGAAGACGCGTTGGGTTCAAATTTATTCCAACAACTTACTGGGATCTCTTTCTCACTACAGCATTCCTGTCTCCTCAAACTAATACATAATTTCCCGCTCCCCCCAACCGTCCTCTTGTTGCAGTAAAGGACAAGAGAACAAGTGAAAAAGATACCAATAGCTTGTACTTACTTGGCTCCACAGTCAATTTGGTTCCTGCTCCGAATATTAGTGGTCTGTAAGTACACCATGATAAATATCCACGTCAAAACTCAAAGACTGGCATGAGTCACCTCTTAGTCCAGTTCACCATAACCCACCACCTAAGTCTATAGTCTGCCTGGGTCAGACACCAACTGCTAAGGTCCACACACTCAGTGGCCACTCGCTCGTTCTCACAGCAATAGGAAATACCAAGGCCGGCCAAGAACATGAGGAGAAATTCCTTCTTTATTTTACAACGAGATCCTTAAAAAAAAATAAACATATATATACACCAAGCAAAAAAAATTGCTTGAATTGATTGGAACCCTTTAGGAAGTGATGGCTTTACCAGCTCTTTAAGGGGGACTAAAAGAGCAGATTTTTGGAAAACTACAGAGCTGTCTGGATTATTCCAGCTTGGATTCCCAATGGAATATGGTAAATCACTCCCTCTCACCCACTGTTCTGGGAACGGAAAGCAGTGAAAATAAGGAAATGCAATATCCGAGAGAGGGCAGTCAGATCCCGAAACAAACCCACACACGCAAATGAGAAATTGTTACAGAAATTCAGGAGTTTTGGCAGCTTCTGTGCAAATGGACAGAGAGAGAGAGAGAGAGAGAGAGAAACATGATTAATGCAAAGAACTGGTACTCACTGGGTCTTACGATCAGCCTGGTCCCATTTCCGAATAGGAGCTTCTCGGTATCTCTATATGTTGCACACAGTTCAATCCCTGGACAAAATCTACTCGTTCCCTTATCTCTTCGGGATCATACCTCATCCTTTCTCTGGGGTGGGTACAGACCAGAGAGAGCAACTGGACAGGTCTTGCCGTAAATCCAGGAGCAGAAATCAATAGAAACAGACTCAAAGGTGGGAAAAATGCACAGAATGGAAAAGGAGAATGGGTGGTGGGGTTAGGAAGGGTGTAGGGTAAAGCTCTGGGTAAGTCAGAGAGTTGTTAGAAAGGATTTGGAGGGTCCTTTGTGGCCGGAGAAGTTATTGTACGGGCGCTGCAGGAGATTATATTACTGTGTCCCAGCTGTATATATCCCACAGTGATACAAACCAGTACAAAAACTGTACACAGACTGTTGTCTGCAGATTAGAAGATCTCACCCTCTCTGATTCACTCCGCCCACTCTTACATTTGGGCTGTTTCCAGAAACCGTTTTTAAAGGGAGCTTCCTCAATGAGTGAGGGAATAGGTCAGGAGCTCTTATCCAGCTGAATGGCCCATTCACTCACTCTGACCTGGACCTCACCTCCATTCCTTCCACTATGTCACTTTCCTGAATCGCTAGTCCCAACTGCTTCGAGACCCGGCAAATGGATGAGAATCCCAGATGGATGTGGAGGGGAAAGGGTCCAGCTCACGCTATCTCTGAGAAATGTCTTCGAGGTTTGCTGTCGTGTTGTGGAAAGAAAGTCATAAATTGTAATTTTCTTCGCTCTCTCTCTCTTTTTAACTTTGCTTGCCTGATTCTGAGAACGAAGGAATGTAGCAATCTATTTTCACCCAAGTCACTAATATCTTTCTTAGTTTTTCTGTTAAAACACATTTGGACGTATTTCTCAAATGTAATCCTTTTCTTCTTAGTAGGAACAAGGTATGGTTTTGGGAGCAATGGTGGCTCTAATAAGATGTGGGCTAACAAAGGGAATGCAGTGGGACCAGTGGAGATTTAATGTAACTTTGGCAGTATAGACTCGATTGACTGAAGGGCTTCTTCTATACTGTATATGATTTAAACAATAGCTCGCCGTCTCTAGCAATTAAATGGAATTAAACCCATTGCCAGACACAGCCTGATACACCTTCCCCCCTCAGCAAGGACCATCTCCAACAAGACAGAATCTAACCAACATCCCTTGACATTCAATGGCGTTACCATCACTGAATCCCCCTCCCGTCAACATCCTGGGGATGACCCTCGACCATAAACTGACCCAGACCCAGCCACGTAAACACAGGGTCTACAACAGCAGGTCAGAGGCTGGGAATCCTGCAGCGAGTCACTCAAATCCTGCCTCCCCCCACCCCAAAGCCCTGTCCCCCCATCAACAAGGCACGAGTCAGGAGTGTGAGGGAATACTCCCCACTTGCCCCTGGATGGGGGCAGCTCCAACAACACTCGAGAAGCTCGACACCATCCAGGGACAAAGCAACCCCTGCTCGATTGGCAGCACATCCACAAACATCCCACTCCCTCCACCACCGACGCTCAGCAACAGCAGTGTGTACCATCTACAAGATGCACTGCAGAAATTTAGCAAAGAACCTCAGGCAGCACCTTCCAAATCCATGACCACTTCCATCTAGAAGGACAAGGGGCAGTAGATCCGTGGGAACACCAGCCCCCGCGAGTTCCCCTCTGAGCCAGTCCCCATCCCGACTTGGAAATATATCGGCCGTTCCTTCAGTGTGGCTGGGTCCAAATCCTGGAATTCCCTCCCGTAGGGACATTGTGGGTCTACCCGACAGCACATGGACTGCAGCGGTTCAAGAAGGCAGCTCACCCCGACCTTGTCATTTGGGGTGGGGGGGGGGCAACTAGGGACGGGGCGATTAAAGGTGGGCCCAGACAGCGATGCCCATGTCCCACAAGTGAATAAGACATAAGACATTTTACAGTATGGTTATGGGCGGGTAAACATTTTTCTCTTTAAATTAGACAATGTTTGAGATCCCTGGTATATTCCTGAGTTTTGAACAAGGTACATGAACTTCCCTGGATTATTAACAATTACAGAATTTATAAAGGAAGTCACTGCTCACGGTTTAAAGAACTTTACACTCCTTACATGGACTGATGGCTATGGTGGTTAACACCAAAGCTGTGGGCTAACACCCCACAGAGCCTATCGCATGATAGATGTGGCCAAGGAGCAGAGGTTTCAAAACAGCTCACCCGAACGCAAGTGAAACAGGGCCGACAGTTCCTCAGACTGTCTGCATGTCTTTGATTTGTTTTATTATTGTCACAAATACTTAACTACAGTGAAAAGTTTTGTTTTGCGTGCCAGATCATACCATACAAAGTGCATTAGGGTGAGAAAACAGAGCGAGGAATACAATGTTACAGTTGCAGAGGGGGTGCACAGACAGCGAGATCAACATTAGATTTAAAATTTGAGAGGTCCATTCAGAAGTCTAATGACATGGGGGAAGAAGCTATTCTTGAATCTGTTGGTATGTGTATTCAAACGTTTGCATCTTTTTCTCCGTGGGACGAGAGTATAACCAGGCTGGGAGGGACTTTTGATGATGTAGGCTGCTTTCCCAAGGCAGTGGGAAGTGTAGATGGAGTCAATGGAGGGAAGGCTGGTTTACGTGATGGACTGGGCTGCATTCATAACTCTCTGTCACTTCTTGTGGTCTATGATTAGAGCAGCAATTGCTGGGATGTATCAGGATAAAATGCTTTCAGTGGTGCATCTGTAAAAACTGGGAAGAGTCCTTGTGGACGTACCAAACTTCCTTAGCCTCCTGAGGGAGTTGTTGGTGGCGGTGTGCTTTCTGAACAGTAGCGTTGACGTGGATGGGCCAGGATAGATCCTCGGTGATATTCACTCCCAGGAACTTGGGAGCTCTGGGCCATCTCCACATCAGCTCCATTGATACAGTCAGGCACCAGCCGGTAGTCGATGATCAGCCCCTTCATTTTGCTGACGTTGAGGGAGAAATTACTGTCTTTACACCATGCTGTTAAGCTCTCTATTTCCAGTTGAGAACTAACTCAAACACTGACTGTCTTTTCATCCCAATGTCACTCCCTCCCTCTGACATCCCAACCCCTCACCCCATCATGTGGGTTAGCGGGTAGAGATGCTGAATCAAACGTATTCCATTGCGTGCCAGTAGGTGTCAATGTCGTGGCTGGCTAGCAATCTTCTGGGAAATGGAATTAAGCAGATGCCTGTGTGCCCGAAGGCAAATAGCAGAGCTCTGAGTACATCTCGGTGACAATAATCGAAATGGGGCTTCCATGTGAGCACGTCTGGGCACTTGATATAAAGGACGTGACAAAGGCTTAGGGACAGACCACTGGGAGATGGGGGGCGGTGGTGGTGCGCGACAGTACCATTTAGGAAGTTGTTTGCAAGTCTCAAATAGTGTGGATGTCCCTGAGGAGTAGGTGGGAGGACAAAGCTTGTTTGGTCAGATCCCTAAAACAAAAAGAGGTAATGTCAAGCCCTCTGAAAGGGCTGTGAGAGAGATTGAGGAACAGACCATCAGGGAAACTCAGAGGCAAGTGGTCAAACTTTTCATTGGGCAAAGAATGCCACTGGTAGGCAGGGTAGGAATTTCTCTGCTGTGTCTGTGTGTGTCTCTCTCTGTGTGTGTGTGTGTCTGTGTGTTTGTGTCTGTGTGTGCGAGTGGGTTTGTGTGTATGTGTCTGCGTGTGAGTGTGGTAGGTGCGTGTGCGCGTGTGCTTGTGTGTGTGTGTATGAGAGAGAGAGTGTGTATGTGAGTGTTGTGTGTGCATTAGTGTGTGCGTGAGTGTGTATTTGTGTACACATGTGTGTGCACATTTGTGTGCGTGGGAGTGTGGTGAGTGGGTGTGCATGTATACGTGTGTGTGTGAGTGTGTGTGTGTGAGTGTGTGTGTGTGAGTGTGTGTGTGAATGTGTATGTGTGTGTGTCTGTGCGTGTGTCGGTGTGTGAATGTTGTGTGTGCGTGCGTGTGTGTGTATATGTGCGTGTGTACATATATGTGCGTGTGTGTCTGTGTACATGTGTGTATACTTGTGTGTGTTTGTGTGAGAGTGTGTGGTGTGCGTGTGTATACGTGTGTGTGAGTGTATGTGTGCGTGTGTGAGTGTGTGTGTGATTGTGTGTGAGAGAGAGTGCATGTGTGTGAGTGTGGTGTGGGTGTGCGTGTGCGTGTGGGTGTGCGTGTGCGTGTGTGTGTGTGTGAGTGTGAGAGAAAGTGTGTGTGAGTGTGGTGTGCGTCAGTGTGTGTGTGTATGAGTGTGTGCGTGAGTGTGTGAGTGCATGCGTGCATGTGTGTATGAGTGTGTGTGTGTTGCTCGGAATTTTCCCCGTTCAACCAGGTTGGAGGTTACATGAGTGAACAGAGTTTCAGCTCAAAGCCAGAAACAGGACAGATAGTAATCGACCTGCGCTCAGGAAATTACCAACTCAAACCCTTGACTCTGCAAAGTCCTCCTCACAAACTTCTGGCAACTAGTGTTGAGATTGGGACAGCTGTCTCATAAACTAGTCCAGCAAACAGCCTGACATAGTCATACTCACAGAATCATACCTTACAGACAATGTCCCAGACACCATCCTCACCATCCCTGGATATGTCCTGTCCCACTGACAGGACAGACCCAGCAGAGGTGGCAGTACAGAGGTATACATTTGGGAGGGAGTCCTCAACATTGTCTTCGACTCCATGGTTTTGGGTTAAACGTGGGCAAGGAAACCTCCTGCTGATTACCACATACCTCTAGCTGATGAATCAGTACTCCTGAATGTTGAACAACACTTGGAGGAAGCACTGAGGATGACAAGGACACACAATGTACTCAGGGTGGAGGATATCAATGTACACCACCAAGAGTGGCTTGGCTGCAATACCACAAATTGGGCTGGTCGGGTCCTAAAGGACATAGCTGCTAGACTGGATCTGTGGCAGGTGGTGAGGGAACCAACAAGAGGGAAAAACATACTTGACCTCATCCTTACCAATGTGTTGACTGCAGATGTACCTGTATGTGACAGTATCAGTTAGAGTAACCACCACACGGTCCACTTTTATTTTCACAACAGAAGATAGTTCCAAATAAGTCAGAACAGAAGCTGAAATCTGGATGCACTGCAGCAATTCACCAAAGATCTTCAGGCAGCACCTCCCAAACCCATGACCACTTCCATTTAGAAGGACAAGGGGCAGCAGAGAAATGGGAATACCAGCGTCTGCAAGTTCCACTCTGAGCCACTCCCCATCCTGATGTGGGAATATATCGGCTGTTCCTTCAGTGTTGCTGGGTCAGGATCCTAGAATTTCCTCCCTAAGGGACACTGTGGGTCTAGCCTACAGCACAGGGACTGCAGGAGTTTAAAAAGGTACCTCATCCCCACCTTCTCAAGGGGTCAACTAGGGTCGGGGCAATAAATGCTGGGCCCAGCCAGCGACGACCCTTGTCCCATGAATGAATAAAAAAACACATGCAACTGAATTACAGAAATATTTACATATAACTCTAATTTAAAGGTTTCTAAACGCACACAGTACACACACACACATGCAATCTAGAACAATGCACAATATCGAAATGATCGTTAAAAATTCAAGGTGGTGAAGAAGGCATTTGGTACACTTGCCTTTATCGCTCAGACCACTGAATGTAGGAGTTGCAAGGTCATGTTGCGGCTGGACAGGGCATTGGTTTGGCCATTTTTGGAATACTGTGTACAATTGTGGTCTCCCAGCAATTGAAAGATGTTGTGAAACTGAGAAGGTTTTCAGAAAAGATTTACAAGGATGTTGCCAGGGTTGGAGGGTTTAAGTTATATGGAGAGGCTGAATAGGCTGGGGTTATTTTCCCCGGATCATCGGGGGCTGAGGGGTCACCTTATAGAGGTTTATAAAATCATGAGGGGCACGGGTAGTGCGAATAGACAAAGTGATTTCCTCAGGGTAGGGGAGTCCAAAACTAGAGGGACGTAGGTTTAAGATGAGAGGGGAAAGATTGGAAAGGGGAATCAGGCGGTAATTTTTTCACACAGAGTGTGGGTGTATGAAACGAGCTGCCAGAGGAAGTGGTGAAGGCTGGTCCAATTCCAACATTTAAAAGGCATCTGGATGGTTACATGAGTCGAAAAGGTTTAGAGAGGTATGGGCTAATTGCTGGCAAATGGGACTAGTTTAGTTCAGGAAACATGATTGGCATGAACGAGTTGAGCTGAAGGGTCTTTTTCAGTGCTGCATGACTCTATAAGTTAACAACCAGTGAGGTTTCAAGGCCTTCTCCCTCTCTCTCTCTTTCTCTGTCTCCCTCCTCTCTCTCTGTCTGCATTTCTCTTTCTCTCTCTCTCTTTCTCTGTCTCCCTCCCTCTCTCTGCATTTCTCTTTCTCTCTCTCTCCTTTTCTCTCATTCTCTCTCTTTCTCTCTCTCTCTCTGTCAAACAGTAAAGAGTAAATGTGATCTGGTTCCAGGGTGCTAATTCGTTCCATTCACAGCCCCTGTTTACACACGAAGATTGACTTATGTGCATGGCGGAGTTTCCCTGTGTGAGCCTGGACCCGGGGGAGAGCAGGCAGAGGGGATGGGTTCCTGCTGTGGGTAGGATCTGACGGCAGACTCTGCTCTGACGGAGAGAGCAGAACACCATTCGCAACTTCCCAGCCAGATCTTCACGCCCTGTCTCTGGCCGACTGTGTTCGTTCAGCAACGAGGCAGCTCTGTCTGGTATGGAGTGCTGTCCACCACAATGTGTCCTGCTGTATCTGCTCAGTAAGTACCCTTGGATAGGAGTGGGGCATCGATTGGAACAGGGCATTGGTAAACTCGTACTGTGCCCCCGAATTTATTCTCATGGTCACTAGTTATCTGAAACTGACTGGCTGCTGTGATCTCTTCCCTTCGGGAGACCTGTCCCAAACTCTGGGTTGATGGATGGTGTCCTGTGACATTATCTATGTTGGTCACTGACATCAAGGAGGGCAGTAGTTTCGAGGCATCTACTCCCAGCTAGATCACTCATTTCTGTCTCTCTCTGGTATCTGGACTTAATTCACCAAAGATCCTCAGGCAGCACCTTCCAAACCCACGACCACCTCCATCTTGAAGGACAAGGGGCAGTAGGTACGTGGGCACACCAGCCTCCTGCAAGCTCCCCTCTGAGTCACTCCCCATCCCAACTTGGAAATATATTGAGATAACAAGGTGTAGAGCTGGATGCACACAGCAGGCCAGAAAGCATCAGAGGAGCAGGAAAGCTGACGTTTCTGGTCTGGACCCTTCTTCAGGAAAAATCTACCTTCTGGAAATATATTGGCCGTTCCTTCAGTGACCGGGGTCAGAATCCTGCATTCCCTTCCTCAAGGGGCATTGTGGGTCTACCTACAGCACATAGACTGCAGCGGCTCGAGAAGGCAGCTCACCCTCACCTTCTTAAGGGGGTAACTAGGGCCGGGGTAATAAATGCTGTGCCCAGATTGTGACATGCACTTTCCATGAATGGAGCTGTGTGTGTGTGTGTGTGTGTGTGTGTGTGTGTGTGTGTGTGTGTGTGTGTGTGTGTGTGTGTGTGTGTGTGTGTGTGTGTGTGTGTGTGTGTGTGTGTGTGTGTGTGTGTGTGTGTGTGTGTGTGTGTGTGTGTGTGTGTGTGTCTGTGTTTACCTAAGTCTCTGTGTGGATGTCTGTTTGTATGTGCATGTATATGTGTGTGTATCTACATCTCTGTGCCTGCACCTAAGTCTGTGTATGTGTATTTATGTCTATGGGTGTCTGTGTAAGCGTCTCTGTTTGTCTATATTTTTGTGTGTGCGTATCTAAGTCTGTGTGTGCATGCCTGTGTCTCTGTTTATCTAAGTCTGCTTGTGTGGGTATTTCTGTGTCTGTATGTCTGCATGTACCATGACTCTCTGTTTGTATCTGAATCTGTATGCCTATCTAAGTCTGGGTGAGTGTCTATGTGTGTGTATCTCAGTCTGTGTTTGTGTGTGTTTGTTTGTGTATCTCAGTCTGTGTGCCTGCGCGTGTGTGTTTCTCCCTATATGTGTATCTCAGTCTGTTTGTGAGTATGTGTCTCTATGTGTGTCTAAGTCTGTGTGTATGCATGTATCTAAGCATACGTGTGTTTCTGTATATGCATCTAAGTCTTTGTGTGCACCTGTGTGTATTTGGTTTGTGTGTACTTATGTCTGTATGTATCTACATTTCTGTGTGTGTCTGTGCGTATCTCTGTCTGTGTGTCTGTTCATCTCTGTGTGTATCTCAGTCTGCGTGTGTGCGCGTCTCTGTATGTGTCTAAGACTGTGTGTGCTTATCTCTGTGTGAACCTCAGTCTGTGCATGTGTCTGTGCGTGTGTCTCAGTCTGTGTATGTGTATGTGTCTCTGTGTGTATCTCAATCTGTGTGTGTATGTCTCTGTGTGTCTCAGACTATGCATGTGTTCTGTGTAAGTATCTCAATCTGTGTTTTGTGGTTGTGTGTATATAAGTCTGTTTGTCTGTGTCACTGTGTGTATCTCAGTCTATGTGAATGTGTGTCTCTGTCTGCATACATCTGTGTGTCTGTATCTGTCTGTATCTACATCTGAGTGTGTGTGTCTCTCTCTCTCTCTGTGTATATATACTGTGCGTATCTATGTCTCTGTATGTGTAACTAAGTCTCTCTGTGTGTGTCTCTGTGTGTCTATATCTCAGCGTGTGTCTTTGTCTGTATCTCTGTCTGTGAATGTATGCATACTGTGCATACCTATATCTGTGTGTGTGTGTGTGTGTGTGTGTATCTAAGTCTGTGTGTGCGTGTCCCTGTGTGTATCAATATCTGAGTATGTGCCTCTGTGTTTCTCCGTATGCATGTGTGTGTGTATACTGTACACATCTATACCTGTGTGTGGGTGTATCTAAGTCTGTGTGCTTATCTCCCTGTGTATATCTATGTCTGAGTGTGTGCCTCTGTGTGTATCTCTGTGCGTGTATGTGTGTGTGTGTATACTGTGCACATCTATATCTCTATGTGTGTATCTAAGTCACTGTGCATGTCTGATGGCTGGTTTGTGATACTGGGTGACACCCACAGCCTGGGATCAATTTGCTGCATCGGCTGGGGTTAGCATGAAGGATTCACCGTCTCAATGTCCCCCTTCGTCTGAGAAATGGTAACCCTCAGGTGAAACCATCACCATTCATCCTTCTCTAATGGGAGAGTAGAATTGTGGTCTGGTAGGGCTATAGCAATGTTACTTTTCACGTGTGTGCATATACACCTCTCTATGTGGATATACGTCTCTGTCAGTGTCTATGTGTAGCTAAGTCGTTGTACTTGTGTCTCTCTTTGGTCTGTGTTTAAAAGTTTATCTATCTGTGTGTGTGTATGTGTGCGCGTGTGTGTGCCATCTGTCTGTTCGTACCTGAATCTGTGTATATACATCCCTCCAATGAGTGGGAGATATTTTCTCCGGGGAATTAATTAATTAAAAATCTCGAAGCCACTCCCTGTTTCTCTCTTGTGCCACCCTCCACACGCTACTGCATCGGAGGAGAGTTAAAATCCATCAGGGACTCCTTTTAAAAAAATATACTTTATTCATTAAAATCTATGTATAACGTACATTGACACAAAAGCAGTTCGGTTCTACACAGTTGCATATCAAGCAAACAAAATTTTGAACTTTGACTCTATCGCTCCCCCAAAAAAAACACATAGACCTCTCACACAAAATTAATGTTTACGTATATTTGAGGCGCCAGGAGTGTCCGATAACAGAAAGAATCGCCGTTTACCATCAGCAAAAAGACCTCAGACCATGGTCTTTTCCCCACCGCACCTTGGTGGCTGCTGTCCTAAGCTTTAGTGCGTCCCTTAGCACATAGTCTCAGTGAGAGGGAGCTTGGAGCACCATTCAAATGGACACAGCATCAGCTCGTACTCACACTCATACAGTCAGTGTGGAGAGGGCACAAGTGAATGTTTGTCCATGTGTGTGTGTGTTTGTCTGTGCACTCCTGTGTAAGAGCTAATGAGTATGTGTCTATGTGTGTGAATGTTCCCTCTGTGTCTGAGTGTATGTATCCACGCAGAGTGTGTGAAATTGTCTGTGTGTGTATGTGCGGGCAATGGGAGGTAGGTGCAGTGCGACTTTGAATGAATTGAAAAGCAAGTTTCTCTCCCCCGTGTTCCTCCAACTTGTGTTTAAAGAGCTACAACGCCATCCTCTGCTGGTAGACAGACTCTGCTGCACAGCCGTGCAACAAGATGGTAAAGATCAGCCGCATTAACACTGCTATACTGGTCCAAGTGTTCACACAGCATCCCTGATCCAGAAGCTTACTCTAAACAAATACACCTCCTAACAAACTGTGGACTGTAAATCCGAGAAATAGACGTGGAAGTTGTGGAAGAAGGTGCTCAGAATGGTAAGGGAGTAGGAAAACCAAAAACAAAATAAATACTGAAATGTCAACAGCGAATTTATGAGATAACAAGGTGTAGAACTGGATGAACACAGCAGGCCAAGCAGCATCAGAGGAGCAGGAAAGCTGACGTTTCAGGCCTAGGCCCTTCTTCAGAATCTCCAGTATCTTGTCGAGGATCTGCAGCTCCTACTATCAGCGAATTTATGAGGGCCACTTGACGTACGAGTTACGGGCAGCAAACACAGCACACTGCCTCTGTGTGCGAGTCAATGCTGCTGTCACATTGAATAGCAGTTCCTACTATCTCTGTCACATTGAATAGTGCTGTTTGCCTGTGAATGTGCTTTGAAGAGTTTGTGTATGTGTATCTGTACTACACAGTGCAAATGCGTGAAGGTTCAACGTGAGAATGAAGTTATCAGTACTACTCCCTACGGTTCTTGAGTAGATTTACTATACTCCCCTGCTGTACATTGTATCAAGCTCCCTCTCCTGGTGCTTCCTGGTATCACTGTCATCGGTCTCGCATTTATCGATCTCCCCTGTTGGCTTCTCTGTGGTCCAACAGGTTTATTTATAAACACAAGCTTTCGGAGCCCCAGTCCTTCTTCTGGTATTAGTGCGAGAGGTAGGCTCAGACACAGAATTTAGTTCTTTCTTTAGTTTTCTCAGGACCGTGACTTGAAAGAAATTCGGGGATTTGCATATACATATTAATCAATTAAAACCTCCTCGTTGATTAAAGATTTAACAGCATCTTAGGTTTGTTTAGTAGGTCCCCACCAATGGTGCGAACCTTTGATCTTTTACTTATAAATTCTGTGTCTGATACCACCTCTCAGACCAACACGTGAAGTAGGACTAAGGCTCCAAAAGCTTGTGTTTTCAAATGAACCTGTTGGACTATAACTGGTGTCGTGCGACTTCTGACTTTGTCCACCTCCAGTCCAACGCCGGCACCTCCACACCATGGCTTCTCTATGGATACTCAGTGCCGTCTTTATCGCCCTCTGTTGGCGTCTCTCTATCTTTAGTCTGAGTTTCACTTTCATTGTCTCAGTCTTTTGGATTCTCTCTGGATCCGTGAACTCAGCCTCAATTGATTGCTGACTCCATAATGAAAGACGCCCCTCCAAAAATAAAACAACGACATGACGGTACCTTTCATCTCAATTTATTGAGCCTTCCTTTCAGCTACATTTCACGGTAGTTACTTTCGCTACTGACAATATTATTCTCTCAGTTTCACTAACGTGGTGTGTAAGAGGTTCCAGTCCTTGAATTTCTATTAGTTTGTGGGCGAAAGTATAACAGCTACACTTCCTGCGCTGGCCTGTTGTGCACTACACAGAAGAGAGCTGCTGTTTA